GGCATATATTAGTGTGGTGGAGGGTCGCAGTCCCCTACTTCCTCTCCTCACACAAGATGTTTGAAAGTTCTGTTGACAACACAGTGAGATACCAGAAAATAAACCATTTTTCTCCAGGACACTAAATTTTTGTGCACAAAAATGGATCAATTCGAGGATCAACAGGCCTAAGGTGCAATGTGGTGGATTGGAAAGAGTCTGCAGTAAGAGTAAATAAAATCTAGAATTTTTCTTTCTAACCTCTTCTATTTGGTATAACGTTATAACTTTTGTGAAGTCAAATGGGCCTTTCTCGTCATATTATATTGGTCAAGTTACTAGGCCACTCCGAGCCTCAGATTCACCATTTGTAAAATGGAATTCTATAGACATATGGGAACATCTCCCTCCAGTTCTGAGCAAAAGCTCTAATTCTTCCCAGGAAGTGAAGCACTTAGTTGGCCAGCTCCTTATTTATATTCCAAGAAGATGTCAATGATACCCACACACTTAGTGCGGGAGTTCACAGTTACATGTTTGAAGGTTCATCATGGGGTCTTTCAAAGGCCTTGGCTAGGAATTTCCAGTTGCCCCCCACAGAGATAACAGCAAAGGTACAGATAGCAGCTCACACTTAAAAAGTGGCTTGGCATTCTAAATTCACCTGGGAAGAAGTTAACATACGAAAAAAGTCAATTTGCTCAAGGTGAGCAATTGTTGATAACATTACTAAACATCTCCTTTTTCCCCTTTTTTAGGTAGAGGATCTTTGCCTCTCCTTCACTGTAATATTTTATTTATTCTTCAGGATTAAAGCAGTAGCTATGTCCTAATGTTCATTCAGTTTTAGGATAACCACAAAGGTTTCGTGAATGTGAAATGCTAGTTACACAAATATGAAATGGATCTGTGATGAGGATACTGGGCACATGATATAACAGAAGTCCCAAAGGCATTTCACCTGGGACCTGAGATTTCCTTCCAGAACATCAGCAAACAGTTCAAAATTAATGTAGCACACCATGCAATTTGCCATATAGCTACACTAGCCTGATCATTTTTTTCCCTCATTATATAAAACCTAATTAGTTAAAGGGCAACTCAAATGAAACTTTTATTTGGGGGGATTTAGAAGTATTAAAGCAAAGGGAAAAAAACAAACAAACTCAGCAGCTCTCTGGATAGCATCAACATGATTATTAATAACCCTTGGGTGGGGAAATGATTAACCTTGTTATTTTCCTCACGATCCAGGTTCCTACAGTAAATGGGCACTGAATAAAAATATTTGGATGCTGTATGGAAAACAACCTTTACAAGGTCTCCAACTGGCATCAAATATTTTCAAGTAAGAAAACATCTCTGGGCTTTCTCGAAAGGCTGATGGATCCCTGTGGGTAGCATTTCCCTTGTTTAACAGCCCTGTCAATTAAATCAAATTAGAGATGAAGTTTTAACTCCACAATGAAGGCAATGCTCATTATAAGGGAAAACAGGAAAATGGAATATTTCCCTGAAGTGAACCACTCTTTCTCATGGAATGAGGTAGACAGGAGGGGACAGCCAAACACCTCCATCAATATTCTATGCTTTATGTATCATGACTTCAATCACTTCAAAGGAATTTAAAGAAATAATGCATACTTGGGTTCACAGAATATTTACATTTCTCTACTTCTGTTGTTATTCCAAGACATACTTTTATTTACTTAAAAAAAATGCCAAGTTTTTTGAAATGGTGTTTCCTGATGTGATCTTTCGTTTCAGTGGCTGGCCTACCTTTCATCTCTGACTCCTCTGTCACCTGCTTTCTTAAGTGATAAGCATCCACACAAAGCTATTTGCACGTTAGGCCAGTTTGTCTTCCAATTATGGTCTTTAAAATATACTGTTTAACATAATTAGTGAAATCACTTGCTTTTCGGGACTAAGGATCAGATAACATATGCTAGAAGGTAATGATTAGTTTATCACTCTAGCAAAAACATCCACACCAAACCGACTATTAATTTGCATCATCAGCATCAACAAATGTTCACTTGGATAAAATCATGAATGTTTACTTCTAAGTGTGTGATGCATTTTATATATATATAAAAAAATGAAGACTGAATGAATTACTGCCACATTAGGTAAAAACAGAGATCACAAGGCTCAAATGACCTTAGATCTATTTTGGGATTCATTAATTGCTGACAATATCACCAGTATCTTTTCAGCCACGGCCAAAGCACATCAAAATGACCAAGTTTTAAATCAAGTACCTTAGAAATGATTGGGAAATCCGTTTCCTAATAAATAGACAACAGCAGGTACAAATGACCTTAATGGGAAATCTGTTTCAAAAACATTTTTAGCAGATGATCGGAAAGGATGACCACTCTGTCCATGCATTTGAACCTTAATTACAGTGTTGACAGTTGGAGACCTATACTGAAATCTCCTAGGGCTCCGAAGTCCTCAGTTATTGTGTATATAGTATATGTATGTCAACTTATGGTTACATACATCAATAATTCACATCAAAAGTATGTATCATTCACTTTCTTTGTGGTATGCTTTGATGATAGGAACCTTGGGGGTGTTACAACTGTTAAAATGGCATTGTCTATATACTTGGAGAAATTATGCTCATTGATTCCTTCTTTGGGATAAAGGAAGAAGCCCTGGTGAACCCCCAAACTTAGTTAAAAATCCAAGCGACTCCCTCTTCTTTGGTTCATACCTTGGAAGCCCATTCCTGCGCCCTCTGGAATAGGCAGCAAGTCATCTAGCATGAATTCTTGCCCTTTGGAGAGGAAAGGAATCCACTAGTGCATACAACAAGCGCCTTATGAGCCCACAAAGAAGGAACGTGCGAATGCTGTTTAAGCAGCCCAGAAGATACTCTTGTGTTGGATGGTTTGATCGTAAATCTCTCGACTTTAAAGCCAGCAATAGGCAAGCCAGTTGTGTGGGACATTGGGAACCTCCTGGCAGCTTTTATGTTCCTATTTGCTGGAGAAATCTGAGGGGACACCCACTGCCGTCCTAGCAGAGCAGCCAGAGGCATAAGGAAGGCAGGTCACAAACTAGGACGTTATTCGTCAGAAGGTTTGGTGAGGTATTAAGGAGTTAAATTTTCCTAGAGGCACAACACAGCATCCTTTCGGGTCACCACTGATTTCAAAATAAAACGAAGCAAAACAAAACTGGAATTTCCTGAATCAGTGTGTAAAAGGTCAACATCTGCTGATGCTCAGACATGGGGCATGTGGTGGAGGCGGCCGGATGAGATGGGGAGTGAGCGGTACAGTCAGAGGGTCCATGCAACACACGACTGACACTCTGAACAGAAACACACCCAGCGCCCAAGAACTACTTTCCATCCATCCATTTCTGACAATCTGACAGGTCAGACGGCCATCGCGGCCTCCAATGAGCTGTCTCTGCTGGCTACCATTTGGTTCCCTTTCGTCCTAAAATGCATATACATAAATGAGATTGTCAAGGCCTGAAAGGAGCCCACTGTGGGCCGTGTGCGTGTGTGTGTGCGTGTGTGTGAATACACACACACTTAGGCAAATGCCAGGGAAATACTGAAGCAGAACATTGACACTATGAGAGCTGAAGTTTCACCTGCCAGTTTGTAGAACTGGTGCCATTTCGACAAGACCAGAAAGGCCAGGCTGGTAGCATTAGGCTGGTATCTAAAGGGTTGTGAACGCTACGTCTATTGACAGAGCCGCTGATTTTCATGGCATTTAACACACAGCTCATGCTTAACAAATCTGCGTCCAGGCCTGTTGGCGAGCTTAAGTAAACTGGCTTGATTTACAAAGTAGAAGACCTGACGGTGCATTTATACGAAGTGGGAAGCTGTTTTATCCAAATTATCAAGTATTGCTTTGAGGATGGACGTTGGGTATTCAACGGCTGTTCGCACGCAGTCACCCTGGGTGCCACAGCACCCACGACGACGAGGGCTGCGAGGGGTGACCACAGCGATCACTTACAGGGAGTAATCTCTGCCTCCTCAGCTCTTTGTTTGAATGGGTGATTCAGCAGCCTGCGAAGGACTTGGCCATCAGAGAGACATGGTGGGAAATACAGAAACGTGAGATGCTGCTCTGCAAAGCTGTGGGGGGCATTTCCTGAATGAACACCTCAGGCTTGGTGTTGGGGTGTCATTGTTTTATGGGTGAAGAAGGGACACTGCAATGGGAATGGAGAAATGTTCCATAGAAGCTTGAAGAGGGACTTCTCTTTCAACTGCTTCTATTTCTCCTAAAAGATTTCTTGCAGGAATTTCTGGTTAGTTGGATTCCTAAATTTTGTATATATTTTCTATACCCCATTCTCTATCAAACTTAAGCCTAAGTGGTCAGGAAAAGATGAATCACTGTATTTTCATAGGGAGAAATGTACATACCGAGGTTTGTTTTTGTTTTTTTTCCCCTTCGTTCCCCCAGGAAGACTAATGATCACCAACCTGCCTCTTTCAGGCCTTCACAAAAACTGGCATGTAATAAATTACTAAAATTCCCTCCCTCTGGTTTCATGGCGTTTTCACTGGGTTCTAATGAATATGCCTAAAGCATTCATTGGTATTCATTCTCTGCTTTTAAAAATTACGGTAGAAATCCATCCAGTCCTAAGGAGAAAGTTCAATTTGTTGTGGGTTACTAAGTATGGGTAAATAGGACGGCTTATATGTCTGCTAAATGAAAAATGGTTTCCTAAGCAATCGCACCTCTGGAGAGGTGGCTTCATTGGTCAAAAGCAGTCAGGGGAGCTGTGGTGCTGGCATGTCCCCAGCGAGGTTACACAGCGATGACTATTTTATCTGTGCTTTGACTATATCTGTGCAGAGAACAACAGTTCAATCCACAAAGAAAATACCCTCTTACATCAGAAATGGACACTGGGAAAATAGATCTTAGGAGCTCAACAAGAAAACAAAGCTAGCCTAGACTTGGTTTGGTGGTTTTTCTTTTTCTTTTTCTTTTTTTTCTTTTCTTTTTTTTTTTTTTTTTACTTACTACCAATACTGGAAATACTGGGGATACCTGCAGAGAGAAAGAAAACAATAAAGAAAAACTGTTAGACAGTTATTAATACATGCCATCTTTAACTTAAAATACAAATCTCAGAAACTTAACACTTAATAGCATTCAGATCATTAGGAAATATGCACAGAAAAAGCAAGATATGTATTCATCCATCAAAACCATTTTGCTTTCATTCTAGAACTCCTGAACTTATCAGGGCTGGAAAACTAATGCTCCACTTCAACAGCTGGTTCAAGACAACTTCATGACATCAAACATTTTGTGCCTGCCTGTAAAGTTAACGGACGTTTGTGTGTGGTGCAAAACAGATTTTAAGCGAGGCTTATGTTCTGGGCACGGAGTGCCAAATATACACTAAGTGGACCTGTGCAAATATACCCACATATGCACGAGATCTCTTTAAATGTGTTATGAGATGCATAGGTCGGCTGCTGAAAGTCATTTGGCCCTTTATTTGATTAATTTCACATAACCATCATTTTTAGTCCTCTTTTACTTGTCAGATATGTGAATTAAACTGTGTAATAGAAACTTAATTGAGCAGAATAATTCAAGAATACATTAGGTTGTTCATATCGATCATGGACTTCATCCATTTTCCCAGCTTCCACTTTAATTTACAGGTTGTGCTAAGGTGGTGGGACCATTTTAGAATGCAGTGGACTTGGTTCAAATGTGGACGGGAATTTAGTCTGTCCCCTGACAACTCCTAGCCAAGAGCAGGGGCACAGAAGCCAGGCTGTCTGGGTTTGAAGCTTTGCTCCTAGACTCACTGACTGTGCGACCTGGGGCAAGTTGCTTATGCTCTCCGTAGCTTGATTTTCTACCTCTGAGGGTTATTGCAAGGATTACACAAATTGATGAATGCAAAGCACTCAAACTGCTGCTTGGCAGGTAGTGTGTACTATACCCATCTTTGCTGCAGATTACCATTATTGATATAGTTGGTTCACCAAGCAAGCAACACTATGATAGATATCGCTGATTAAGAGTCTGATATTTACATCTTCTTCACTAAATTTGGGTAGTGGTGCCAAGGAGGGCAGGAGATGGGACTCAGACCGGACGAGGTGAGAGTCCTGCTTGGTTACTGACTAGCTAGGTGATTTGGGGCAAGTTCCTTGCCTCTCTATGCTTATTTCCTCACCTGAAAGGGGTTAATAATATCTACTGCATAGGGCTGCTGGGGGGATTGAATGAAATAATCCATAAAAATGTCTGACACATGGTACATAGCTAATAAGTGATAGCTGTTAATGAGCTGTTCAGGCCTGTTCTCCACATCACTGGAGTGTACTCCTAACAGGTGGTAAACGTAGGAATCATTAAACTTCTATTTTCGTATTTATCTTCAAACAACTGCCCTCTGCTTGTTTTAACATTTAACATTTAACATAACTTGTTGAATCATTGTACCTTACTCAGAGATTTCTAGGTGTGTTCTTTAAAACCAAGAGCTACTTTCCTATTTCTTTAAAGGGAGGGATTTAAAGAGGAATTAAAGCTTACCATGATTTTTTTTTTTAAACCTTGGAAGGATTAAAATTTTATCTTTAGTTATTAAATACATTTAAAAATCTCTTGATTTTAAAGCACAGAGTTTATAGTGCTTCAGCTTAATTACGATCATTCTTCAACCAAAACTGGAAATCTGAATTTCCATTTCTGTGTTTTAGCTCTGCCCTCTGAACTGCATTTCAAGCTGAATGCAATCTCTTCAAAGGACTGCTGAATTCCTGACCCAACACGTCAGCAGACTGTCTTTGCTGCAGCGTGACAGTGACTTGGTACCGAATCTTTCCTTTTTTCCCCTTTGTAAATCCCCTGTTGAGTGAGGTATGATGGAAGCATCATAATTTTAGTATCAGTTGCAGAAGCTCCAAATTTCCCCATGATCGAAAATCCTGCTCTATTGGAACCGCTTGCCTTTTGTAATCCGTCAAAGAGGATGGAAGTTAGGGTGGCAGGAAGAGACTTTTTTGGTATTTTCAAACTTACACGGAGCTAGAGGGCCATGCATAATGGAAGGCGAAGTTCTCAGGATGTTTGGCCAGACACAATGGAGAGCAAACCTGCAAGACTATTTGATGCAGTACTTGCTGCAGCTGAATACTTTAGAAAGATGTAGAAATGTCTCAATTCCTTTGGGGATGCCAGTACAGGGAGGAATGTTCACTGCAGCTATACAAAGCTCGCCAAGCAGGGCCATTATACGATCCTATTTTCCTCATGAAGATGTTTTCTATTACCTAACATTTTGGATGCTTAAAATTCAGCCTCTTCCTCATTTTTGTGGCTCACAGTGTTTTGAGGTGTTGCCAGGTGAGTCACTTTCTATTCCATTGCTATAAAATGGCAATTGCTGAAAAGAGTTTTAAACTTTTCATCAGGATAAAGATTTTTGAAGTGGCAAATAACTGAACACCAGGGGATGTCCATTAGTATATTTTCAAATGTTATGGTTTTTCCAAATGTTCCTTATTATAATGTCCAAACACCTTGTTTTTGATTCCCTACAGACAACTAAAGATTTTAATAAACCTATTACATCCATCACAAAGGCTACAGGCAAGCCAGGAGAAGTCTTCCAAATGCCTCTGGAATAAGACAAGGCTACAATTCATTTCGTGAAAGGCTGGGTTTCTTTGGAGTCTCTAAGGGATGAATCAATGAACACAATTTCATCTTAAAGCAGAGACAGTTAAAAAAAAAAAAAAAGCAGAGACAGTGCCTATAAACCATGGGAAGGAGAGTCACATTACTCTCAGGAAGATTGTCTAGACACATGTTGGCAGTTAACATTCCCTGTGAAGTGACAAGCATTATGTAAAGAATATTTTTTTTTTACCTTTAAAATTGAGCTTGGAAGTTATTTCTCCCCTTCCTCTTCATCTCTGATGTGGATTAGCCACTCCCTGTGATTGCACACCCCTTGTAGAGTCCTCCCTGAGAAACTGACCAACTTCTATTTGTAATTGTTTGTGTCTTTGCCTGAGAGTTCTGAGGGACAATCGTCACACCTCATTCCTGTCTGTATTTCTGGAATCTGCTCAGGACAATGTCTGATACAGAAGAGCTGTTCAATGTATATTTGATCAAAACTTTGTCACTTATTTCCAAGAAGGTTTCTATCACAGTGAAAATACTTTTTGGTCATAGTATGATCTTGGCCCATATAAAATGTTCCACGGAAACATTTCTCAGAGTTCAGTATTAATGGAAATTTTTGTTCTTTCTGGACATTTCCTCCATTCTGGTAGCCAGAGTTATACAATGTACAGATGCCCCTCACGACTCTGCCTTCCAGAAAGTGGAGCAGAGACTCAAAACGCAACCTGGTGCTCAACTGGGTAAACTCATTTCATATTTGGCTCTTTTCCTTCGATTCCTTCTCTCACATCTCCTTTTAAACTCCTATTTGGATACTCTTATTTGTATCTGTCTTTTTCCCTGAGCCACCGAGGGGCAAATCCAGATGTTGTGGGTCTAAAGCATAGTCAAATCTGGGAAAAAAGGAATATTAACTTTAAAATACAATACAAAATTATATATGAAAGTATTTTTTTTTAAAGTTTAGAAGGATTCTAGTGAGGAATCCTGAAATTTAAGCTTCATTAGGGCAAATCCATCTATGAAACAACCTCAAAAATACTTGCAAAAGATAAATACGTGATAGGTAGACAGAAAGGAAGCATGAGACCAGGTAAGCTGATTTATAAAGAGTAACTTAAAAATGAAGAGCAGAAAGGGAGTTACGAAATAATCTCATGGACCCTTTCACTTTACAAAAGAAGAAACTGAAGGCACAAAGAGAAGCAAGAGCCTTGTCCAAGCCAACACCTTTATATTCAACATTGGAACTGGTAATTCCTAATTCTTGTTTACTGAAACACTGCTAAGCTTTCACTGAGGAAATGAAGCACAGGTATGCATGAGCTTCACCAGAAGGTTCTTCAATACATGGTCTATGAGTTTAATACTGTTGCTTCTTCTAGAAGAGAAATGCTGCTTCAGTCAGAGATACACATACATGTTGAATAAGCCGAAGAGCTTCATGTGCTAAAAAAAATTAGAAGGTGCTTGGCTTGTAGGCACTTGACTCCTTAACTAGCCCTCCCCACTCCTATATTTATTTTAACGTTCGTTTTAAAGGGAATCTGCTGCAAGGGTGAGCACTTAGTAGAATTATATAATTATTTTCTCCTTCTCCTTCTTCCTGTGATTTTTCTAACCCTCCCACCAAGTAAAGGGCTAAAGGGGGCATAGCTAGGCCACAAAACAAACACCCTAATCTTCTGAAGCAGACTAATGCAGTGCCAAAAGTCATAACTCCTTCTGAGAATCAATGCAAAGTCAGCAGCTTTTCATCGAGGAAATCAGAAGGGACACAGATTTGGCATGCCTCAGATTGAGAGGAAATATTGCCACTGTTGTGATAGATAGCTTGAAAAAAGCCTATCAAGCAGATGACTGATCTTCAGAAGAAGCCAGGCTGCAGCCATCACAAGCTATAACTTCAAAAACCCAGTTGAATAAGAGGTGAGTGATGAGGGAGAAACCATTCTGCAGCCTCACTTGTATCCTGGAGGAATTGCTTCCAATGTCCTTCTAGCCCTGGTCAACCCAGAAGCCCACTGTGTTAAGAGGAGGTACAGTGAGCTGTCTACTAGGAGCTCGAAGGTGAAGGAAATAAAGTTGCCTTCACAGAATTGTGCCATGCAACTCATATAAATGATCCAATCAAAGTTAGGTACACTCATCTTACAAGAGCAGAAGGGGTCTAGGACCTGAGTGTATGTGACAGACTTGGCAGAGGTGACCTCAGCCTGATGTAGCCTATTGACATATCTGAAGAATGGGAGAACAGCCAATCAGAAGGGAGAAGCCTAGAATGAGGAGCATTTTGAGGCATATGGTAGCACTGCTGGCCCAGCATTGTCTCAGGAAGAGGGAAGGGTGACCTGAAAGCTTTCAGACCTTCAGTGTTCTGTTGGCAT